AAGGGGGGGGGGGGGGGGAAGAGAGAGAGAGAGAGTGACGCTCATCTATGTACGGCTCATGTCTGATTTTTAAACTGTATTTCCTTAATTTTTTTTTTTTTCATATTTCAACTTTCTTTTTTAGGAGGGGCGCCATGGTATCTCTTAAACGGATACCGGCGCTTTACAAATTTTAAATAATAATATTGCTGTTGTTGTTGTTGTTGTTGTTGTTATTGTTATTATTATTACTATTTTTATTATAATAATAATAATAATAATAATAATAATAATAATATAAAATGGTCAACTGCTCTGTATTTTCGAAATAAAATTTGACAGCTGTAACCAGTGGTGGATTCAAGGGGAAGTATGCAACCAGCCCCCTTTTAATTCAAACTTATTTAAATAATCGAGAGAAAAGAAAGAAATCTAATCATATTGATCGCCCAAAACGCTTTAAAGGTTATTATTGGCCGTCTAGAAAACACAAATTTCGCGGGGAATCCTCCACCTCGGACCACCTAGGGTGGTTTATCTCGATCTGCCTCACCCCAACCCTTTCGGACATCTCTGGATTCTCCCCCGTTTGGTTATAAATTTCATATAATGTAAATTAAAAAACAGATACGAATCTACAATGTAAACAACGAACCGAAGTTAACAAGCCCCAAGCTGTAATTAAGTTTCTAAGCCATTTTCTGGTCTTTGATAGTTTTAGCGAGTCACTTGGAATGTATGTTGTTGTTGCTGCATAGAATGCAGCTATGTCAGTTCATGCATCTGTCGAGGAAATTGTCAATGCATTCTATGTCTAACAAACTTAGTCAAAATAATAACTATAGAATGAAGACAGAATTCCCATTTAACTACTAACGATGCAAAATGTTCAATACTCTACTCACGTTTTGTTATTGTAAAGTCCCCATCGTAGTCGTTAACTCCATTCAGTATTGTTTATATGTAAAACGCCACCTGGGGAGGTATCAAAAACAATTAAATATACACCTTTCTTCATTTATGATGAGGGTAATGATGATGATGATGATGATGTTAATGACGATGATGATGATCGTGGTGGTGGTAGTGGTGGGATCATGATGTTGATGGCGATGATGATAATGATGGTGATGATGTCGATAATTATGATCATGTTGATGATTGTAGGATAAGAATCGACTTTTTAAAAGAATTTTCATGCTTAGGAAAACCTCCACACACTCGCACAAACAAACACACCCATACATCTGGTAACGTTTCAGGCAGTTGTATGAAAGTGCC